GTTTGAGGAAATGGGGAAAATAGGTTTCATGGTGCAGTCACGCACTTCCTGATCACCGAACATTCTCTAAATGCGCACCAAATGCGTAAAAATGCACATATTATGGCAAAAATTATTCATCATTAAATGTGGTTTTAACATTACTTTTATAAAGTTTGAAGTCCGTGCTGTCCAATCCAGCTCACTGTTTTTTACAGAAGCCCTGTGAAAGCATCACAGCTTTGCCGATCTCAGAGTGTTAAAAGAAAAAAAAATCCTGTATCCACATCGTGATCCAGAACATCACCAAAATTTAAAGGTGTGTTCCTTGGCACAGTACACACATGTGGTAAAAATATGATGATAATCTGTCCACAAGTTTTTGAGTAATGTTGTCCACAGACAGACAGACAGACAGACAGACAGACAGACAGACAGACAGACAGACAGACAGACAGACAGACAAACAGACAAATGTGACTGAAAACATTACCTCGTCCTTGGCAGAGGTAATAACCACATTATAAAACTATATTACTGTTCACCTAATAAAAGACTATACAATGTCTTTAAAAGTCAGTAGTAAACAACCCCAATAAATTTCTTCAATTCCATAATTATTTCCTCAGAATTGAGTGATTCTATAATTTTTTCCCCTCTGCTTGGTCTAAAATAATAACCGTTACTGACTACCACGTTTTTTTTCTTGAATTTTTTTTACTGTTTCTTAAAGCCAGAAAGTTGCCATTTGAAACGACTTTAGTTTTGTGTCCTGTCTGTGATCTGCTTTTTTTCTACAAAATTAAACCACTGAATGAACACCCTCTGAGGTCAGTGATTCCATAATTTTTGCTAGGGGTTGTACTAAAAAGAAACAACTCAAACAGATAAAACAACGTGTTTTTATCTGAATTATTTCTCAGTGATAACATGTTATATTTCAGTCCAAAAATGGGAAAACAAAAACCCATGTTTGTTTCTCCAGTTTGACAAATTGAAGAGTGGTTGGTCCAGTTGCTGAACTGATTTGTGTGACATTTTGATAATTTAATATAAACAACTACCTACCATAGAGAAAATCATCAACCAATCAGTTTCTTACAACCATTCAGAAGTTGGTAAAGGATATTTACCATCCTTGGTTGTATTCACAGTAAAGAAGCCATATTTGTGAAAATTAAAATGAAAATTAAATGCATTTTATTTTGTTTGTATTAGGCACCCATCCAAGAGTCTTTAATTCTCTACAACGATCCAGAAATCAATGATTTGGCTGTGGAATGCTTCAACTGTGAGTTTATATTATGCAATACTATTCATTGAGATGACTGTTTCTGCTTTCCTTTATACTTGACTTATTCATCTGCCTTTGTAGATCTGATGCAGTTTATGGGCGACATCCCAATGAAAAAACATACTACGCAAGTGAACAGCCTGAGTCATATTCTTCTGGTAAGAGTTAATTTTCAAATGTGATCTTTTAAGCTACGGTCACACTGCAGATAAAAGTGACCTAAGTCTTTTTTTACAACAATATGAACAATCAAAAAATCATTTTTTTAAAATCACAAACAATAGAACATTTTATTGAATATCATGCAACATTTTTAAACAATCTTTTCATTGAATTAACATTTTATATCAACAACAAGGAATAAGCACTCCCCACCCCAGCAACTACAAAGACAAACAGGAGGAAAAAAAGATAAATAATATAAAAACTAAGTCACATTACATTTGTTTACATTCACAGGTGAAGCCACATTACTGTGGTCCTCAGTTAGTTCAGAATGCTGTGACAACCTGTACTTTTAACACAGGATAGTGTAGGGGTCACCCCGAGGGGGATAAACATTCCCACTCATCAAAAGAGACAATTTATTTTCTTTAATAAACAAAACAATAATGTTCATTGTATTTTTGATTTATACTTTCTTTTTATTTACAAGTTGTTATCATTTTATAAATCAAAGTTACATAATGAAAAGAATGACAATTAATCTTTTACATTATAATTGAGAAAAAGAAAATTGTTTCAATGTTTCTTTATTTTTCTTACACAAATCTTTGTTTAACCAACTATTGTTCTTACAGTAAAAGTGATTGGTGTTTTTCTGATTTATCTTTCTATTTAACTAAATTGTTGTGATTATGACTTCACTGCATTTTATTATGAAATATGCATACATAAAAATATTTGTATTTGAATCATAGCCAAATATTTTAAGGTTTATTTCAGTTTAAATGATTCTCTTATGTTCCAGTGAACTGTAGTCCATTTTCATTCAGTGTTAAATCGTTCAAAGTTGAACTTGTTTTTCTGAACCAGGTGCACAGTTGTAATTCAGCTTCTCTAGTCTAAACTTTACATTCCTCCTAACTAGGGGTCGACCGATACATCGGCCAGCCGATATTTTTGGTCGATATTTGCATTTTTTCGTTGTAACGGTATCGGCCGATACGTCCGTCCGTTCGGCCGATCCATTGTTTGGGCCACACGAGCGCATGTGTCCGCCCCCTCCCCCAGGGAGAGCACAGCTGCTAATGTTGTGAGCAGAGGTGTCAAGTAACTAAGTACAAATACTTTGTTACTTTACTTAAGTAGTAATTTTGGTTATTTATACTTTAGTGGAGTAATTATTTTTCAGTCTACTTTTTACTTCTACTTCTTACATTTTAATTCAATTATCTGTACTTTCTACTCCTTACTTTTTAAAAATGCAAAAAGTATTTCATTTCTGTTTAACTTTGACTTGTTTTTATTCCATCTTACATGATCCCTTAAATGGGTCTGTTGTAAGTAAATTATATGAGCAACAAGATGACAAATTCTGCATAACTTTATTGCATTTGAGTGGATTGTTAAAATTCTTACTGTTTAACTAACAAATCTAATTTCTCTACCCACAATAAGCATGGCAGATAATTATTTTGTTGATTCTTATTGCACAGCAACTTCAGAATTGATACACACACAAATATGTGTAGCATCCATATTTACTTTTATACATGCTGCGTGCGATGTCGCGTCTTTCTGCGCATGCAGGTCACTTCAGCAGACTGTTCACGCTGGAATCTGATGGAACTTGCTTTTAAATTACAATGTGAAAAAACATGCAAATAATTTGGATCTCATCAAAAAATAAGATTTGAGTATGAAGAACTGCAGTGTGAACACAACCAGAGCTTGAGTTCTATGTTTTAAAAGTAAGTTTGACTGCTTACAGCTTGGGAAAGAAAAGGAGACGCTGAGAGATGAAGTCTACTGTCAAGTCATCAAGCAAAGCACCAACAACCCAACAAGGTGAGTTTGTCATTCATCAAACATTTTAGTTATGCACTTAAAGGGGCAATATCATGTAAAATCAACTCTTTTTTAGCTTTATTCCAAATCCATTCCAGGTGAGCTATGATTGGTTCCCCCTGTGAGGAACATAGGGTGTGGCCAATTACATTTCAAGAAAGACAAACAGCAACAGCTGATCACAAAGCTGTGCTGAACCAAAAGAAAAGAGTAACGGCAAGCATCCTAGAAATGTAGTAGAGTCGAATGTACAATATTTGTCTTTGAAATGTAGTGGAGTGAAAGTCACAAGTTCTCAAAAAATAATTACTCAAGTAAAGTAAAGGTACTCAAAAACTGTACTTAAGTACAGTCCTCAAGTAAATGTACTTCATTACTGTCCACCACTGCCTTTAAGTTTAAGAGATTTGAATGAAACACCAGATTTTAAAATCCAAATAAATAAAAAAAAAAACTTGAAGGACAGAGTAAGAGATTAGAACCAGAGATTTCAAAAGAAACCTTATACTGTTTAAAACAAGAGACTGGCTCGGCCATACCTTAGAAGAGTGTTCCTCAATCCCGGTCCTGGAAGGCCATCATCCTGCGTGTTTTAGATGTTTCTCTGCTTCAAAACAACTGATTTGAATAAATGTGTTTTGCGGAACTTAAAGATCTGCTGAAGAGCAAGGAAATAGCTACATAAAACATGCAGGATAATGGCCCTCGAGGACCAAGATTAAGGACCACTGCCTTAGAAAACTACAAAAGTACTGCAAGTCCAAAATTGTTATTGGGCTTTTTAGATGAAAGTTGATGAATAATCTGAAGGAGTTTCTGGCAGTAGCTGTCTTACAGTAGTACCTTTCAAATTTTCCTCAGAAATCTTAAACTTTATAAAATATTTCTGCAACTAGTTTGACACTACATGGTTCATCTCTGCAGATCCAGTTGCACATTTGGATGGCGGCTGCTAAAGCTGATAACCGGCTTCTTCCCCTGCTCTAATACCCTACTACAGTATGTCACACAACATCTGCAAGACATTTCTCAGGATCCTGGGCATCCATACCAAGGTAGAGAAGGAGATATTATTTCTTGAGTTTATTAAAACTTTTTCATTTGATGTTTCATGAAGACCATGTTTTTCCCAGAGCTGGCATGCATATGTCAAGATAACCTCCAGCGCTCTGTTGCTTTTGGTGGTCGCCGCAACATCCCTTCCCATATTGAGATGGAGGCTATTCTGGTAAGTAGACTTACCAATTTATGTATGGGGCACAAGTGTAAAATGAAATGTTAAAAAAATGTCACAAACACATTTTAATTTTTTAGCTCACTTTTCACTAATACTTCTCTATCAAGTTTGTTGTTATTTAGTTGTTCTTACTTTTTGCTCATTTTTACTAAATGTAAAAAAAAATTAACGTAAGTAAGTATTTTGGAATGGAATGCAGTCTTTGGTGTTGGTGTTTGTCTCATATTAAGACGTCATCATCTAGCAACCGCTACCATTTGATTGTTGCTCCGAAACATTAACCGATTAAATAAGCTCCACCTGGTCAGGACCAGGTTAGTTTTAAAGCACTTATTACCATGGAAACACAGTAATGGTGTGCAAACAATTCAAAGCTTAAATAATCCATTACCCTAGCTTTGTGCAATAGGCCTCAGATTGAGTGGGTTGGTTGGTTTGTTGGTTGGTTTGTTGGCTGGTTGGTTGGTTGGTTCGTTGGTTGGTTGGTTGGTTGGTTGGTTGGTTGGTTGGTTGGTTGGTTGGTTGGTTGGTTGGTTGGTTGGTTGGTTGGTTGGTTGGTTGGTTGGTTGGTTGGTTGGTTGGTTGGTTGGAGCACAATGAAATTACATTTAAGAACACCCATGCAAGAGACACACGTGACAAAAACATGGGGAAACAGGTGATCAGGTCATGTGGCAACCAGCAGTGGTTGCGCTACCTTTAAATCTGATCTGTTAACAGCTCTGCTTCTCTCCTCTTCTGAGTCCCTAGTTGGGGCACTTGTTAACAACTATCCCTGGACCTCCAAAAAGAAGTAGTAGTGTTATGTTTCCCAACCCAAAAGGTATAGGGAAGCAACTCTTTAGTCTACCAATAAAAAGCTCAAAATACAAGCAGGGAGTCTGGGGTCTGACAGCAAAGCCACCCTGACCTTCTCCCTTTCACCTGTAGCAACTCCAGTGAAGAAGAATATCCAAACCCTCTCAAGGCCGTTGATTTCACAGCCAATGTTTCATGTCAAAGTGTCAAAAAAACTACATATCTAGTTGATATCATTCAACTTTCTCAGAGCTCCAGTTCCTTCTTCACCAAATCATTCTTCAGCATTGCACAGGAAGTCCATGTAACCAATAAGCACCACTGATCTGCTGTAGTCTCATGTGTACAATGGCAAACATTGACTTAAAACTTTAGATTATATTAAATATTAAATACTTCTAGTTGAAGTCCTGATGTTGCCTCTTTCCACCACTCGGCCACATTAACAGGTAGTAATGAAAAGGTGTCTTTGTTTTCTGCAGACTGGAAAAATGTCGCGACGTATTCCTGTCCATCTGCCAGGAGGAGCGGAGTTCCCTGTTAAGATTCGTAGTTTCAGTGTAAGATCTATTTACACCTAAACAAAAATGGTCAAAAAAATTTATTTTCAGTTCATGAACATTTTTTCATTGTTGTTTTTTTTCTTTTGTTTGTCTTGATGTAGATGGCAGTTGATGTTGCAACAGATATCTGTAAAGAGATGGGAATAGTGGAAGCCTCAGAAATCAGCGAGTTTTCTGTTCTTGCCACAAGACTTCAAGGTAAAACTGGTAAAGGGATCCCCAATTAGTTGTAACATTAGACTTTATTTGATAAACATTTATTTTAACTGTAAAATAAAGACTGTAAAAATACTGTAGGATGGATAGTTTTGTAAATTTTTAAAAATATATTTTAACACAGACGGAGCCATTTTATTTACACACAAAGCATTCTGGGTAAATGATGACGTGGATAGGTCCTTGGTGCGAGGCTGCTAGCGAGCTATATCCACCCTGAAGGTTAATCTTGGACAATATCTGATGATCGACTCTTTTAAATGAAACCAGAGAGCGTTGACAGAGAGGAGAAGGTAGAAATGACTCAGCCTGGAACTGAAAATATGGATGGAGGACAACAGAGCTGCTTCATGGAAAAAGAACCTCAGCTTAGCCTGTTAGCTTTAGCTTTAGCTCCAACGCTATATTGCCTTATATGTATTAGCTCAGTGCTAGTGCAACAAACAAGCTAAACTGAGGTTCTCCATCCATATTTTCAGTTACAGCTGAGTCATTTTTGTGTTCCCCTCTCTGTCATGTGGATGGAGGACCTCAGTGACGAGAGGAGAATGTGTAGCGCTGAGCTAATAAATATATGTGGTGATAGCATCGGGGCTAATGCTAAAGCTAACAGGCTAATCTGAGGTTCTTCTTCCATGAAGCAGCTCTGTTGTCCTCCATCCATATTTTCAGTTCCAGGCTGAGTCATTTCTACCTTCTCCTCTCTGTCAACGCTCTCTGGTTTCATTTAAAAGAGTCGATCATCAGATATTGTCCAAGATTAACCTTCAGGGTGGATATAGCTCGCTAGCACCCTCGCACCGAGGACCTATCCACGTCATCATTTACCCAGAATGCTTTGCATGTAAATAAAATGGCTCCGTCTGTGTAATATAAAAACTGAACAGCCTACAGTATTTTTACAGTCTTTATTTTACAGGTAAAATATATGTTTATCAAATAAAGTCTAATGTTACAACTAATCATGGATCTCTTTAAATACATTAAAGTTTTATGATGATCATGTGCATGTGTGGCTGTGTTTGAGTTGTCCAAGTGTTCATGTCAGACATTTTGACATTTTGTAGTTCTGGGCAAAATTAAAACTTTTAGTTTTCATTTGCAAATTAGTACTGTGGAAATCAGTCACATGGTTCGAAGGATAGTCCAGTCAACTTTGAAGTGATGTTCTTTCAAATAATGATCAGTAACTAGTACTTTATTAGCTGTGACATCAGTCATGGAGCAAAGAGTGTGAAGAAAGGAGCAAAAGTCTTCATCTAACTAAAAAAAGGGCCTTTTGTTTGATGATTTTTTTTAGTTTATAAAATATCTATTTCTTTTGTGTTAACACACTCTTTTTTTAATTCAATCAATTCACACCAACAAACACCCCACCTCTGCACCTACCTTACACCAAACTAAAGAAAGACAAACAGAAAAATATTATTTAAAATGATACTGCCAAATTCAATCAGATTTTTTTTTACCAGATTTGTAAATCTGATGTGGTCAACATGTCACATACATTCAGATCATGACATGTTGACCACATCAGATAACAACCTCTGTTAGATAGCAAATCAAGAAAAAATACATATATTCAGGTTGTGACATGCATGTAGACCACATCAGATAACAAACGAAAAAAAAAAATCTGATGTGGTCTACATATCACATACATTCAGGTTGTGACACTGTAAAAATACAAACAGACCAAATTAAAACAGAGTTACGGAAACGTGTAGAGGTTTAATTTTGGCTAATGTACAGTTCTTTCTCACTGGTATGTAATTTTTGAGAAATAATTAATTAGACTGAATTAGGCCATACCACCTTGAACACACCTGGGGTCAGATTTATAAAGCTTGTGTACGCACAAAATGAGCCCAGAAACTTGGGTACGCCACTTTTCACGCCAAGGTTGTGATTTATAAAATCCAAACTTGACGTGAAAATGTGCGGTGCCTCACAGCTCTGACCCATGCGTACGCTCATTTTGGAGACGTGAAACTGTGACACAGATGGTGAAGTGAGGAATTATAGCCACACAGTGTAATGATCACTGTCAGATATTTAATTTACCTTCATAATCAGACTTACATTTTAAATAGACTTTAGCTTTCTTAACAGTATAATTCATGCTTCTGCTGCTGAGCCATAAGGATCTTTGAAACAAAAAACTTAAATCTTAAATAAAAGTTCACACAACTCCATCCATCTCCTTCCTCCTCCTCACGACCCTGATCCACAGACCCCTCCCTGACAAGAGACATTTCAACAGCAAAACAGCAAAAAGCTCGGTTATAGTCGCTTTGGGTGAACTTGTCTGTGTCCAAAACGGCAGGCCGGGTCCTCCGAAGGTCGAATTTGTCGGCCGCATACGTCACAGCGCTGTGACGAAGGATGTCCAAAACCAAAGACTCCTCCGATGCGTCCGACAAATACGTCCTTCCTTTGGCCCGAATCGAAGGACAGGTCTGATGGATCCTTCCCGGCCCAGCATATCCCATAATGCATTGCGGCCCAACCGGAGATTTTTTTAAGCTAGTAATGGCGGACGAAGCGAGAGAAAAGAATACATTTTAAATAAAAATGTGGTGATATAAAAATTTTAAAAAAATTAGTGGTTGTAATTCTAATACTTTTATCATTTGTATGGACATGTTTTTAAATATTATTTTTTCATCATAAAAACGTGAAATAAACATGAACCTACAGCGGGTCAATTAGTTCTTCAAATGATACCTTTAAGTTAATTTTATAGTTTTGTGATATTAATAATGCTAATGTATTGATATTTTTCTAGTTTTGATTTAAGTTTGCTTGTTTAGCGTCGTCACAGTTGTTAGGTGACATGACGTACGCCGGGGTAAGGAGTGGAGGCTAGACCGTCCAAATACACAGCCTCTTTTTTTCCGGTCTTCCCGGTATACCAAGGACCCGGCCCGCCGCGACCGGGTAGTCTGGGTCCTCCAGAGGACCCGGCCTGTCCTTTTGGACACAGCCCTTGTCTGATCTCAGCAGCTAGGGTCAGGCCTGGTTAGTACTTGGATGGGAGACCACCTTGGAATATCAGCTATCATAAAACCACTGTAGTAGTTGCACCCACATTGGTTAGTAACAATAAAAATCCTTTAACAGTAATGATCATAGGTTGACTTCTAGAAGGATGCCAAATCAAAATCCTCTAAACCAAGGATTCAAGTTTTTTTTTATTGTCATACCAGCATTGGTTTGTGGTACAAAATTTGGACTCAGGTCCCAGATTAAGAATCCACAAAATAAATATTAATAATGCAATATAATAAAATAATAATGTACAAGTGTAAATAATTTAAAAGAGTAGAGATGAGCTGAATTAGGTGCAGCTTGAGTTCAGCAGTCTGATGGCTGAAGGGTAGAAGCTGTGCCTCAGCCTGGTGGTTCTGTTCTGGATGCTCCTCAGCCTCCTTGCCTGAGGGGAGCAGCTGGAACAGACTGTGTGCAGGATGGGTGGAGTCCTTCATGACGTGGAGGGTCCTCCTCCTACATCGTGATGTGTAGAGGTCCGACATGGAGGGCAGGCTGCTCCCCACAGTCCTCTGTCCAGCATTAACCACCCTCTGTGGAGCCGTCCTCTCAGCAGCAGTGCCACGCGGTGATCCAGCTGCTGAGAACGCTCTCCACCAAACAGTGATAGAGGCTCCTCAGGACCGAGCTCCCAAGTCAAGCTCTCCACAGCATCCTGAGGAAGTAGAGGTGTTGTTGGGCCTTCCTGACCAGACAGGAGGTCACAATAAAATATAGCATAAAAGTGTAACAAATTAGTGTAAATTTTTCTCAACTAAATTATGGTCCAGTCCCTGAGCCTGGACCATTCAGAAACAATGATAAATGACTGAGAAACAGATCAGTGTTGGGACCTTTTTGAAATGTTTCCCCCCTGTCTGTCAGATGGGATGGTGCGTCCTCTTCATGCTGGGGAGTACATCTTTGACTTCCTGCTGGATGATGGCTCCATCTCTTTGTCTCTGAGGAGAATCGTCTGGGGAAACCCTTTGTCCTTTAGAAATGACCTCTATGTGGACTTTCATTATCAGCAGGTGAGGCATAAAAACAAGCTTTTGTTCTGACATTTTTAGGTTTCCATCTACTGTAAGATATGTGTGTGTGTGTGTGTGTGTGTGTGTGTGTGTGTGTGTGTGTGTGTGTGTGTGTGTGTGTGTG